GGAGGAGGAGGAGGGGGGGAGGAGGAGGAGGAGGACTGTGAGGTCTTTGGTGCTCTCTGAATTTAGTGGGGTTTCTACATTTCTTGTAGATGTTTCACTGCCCAACTAGGTAACATCATCAGTGCTAGCAGGGAGTGGGGTTTCCAGGGAGGAGGAGGAGGAGAGGAGGAGGAGGACTGTGAGGTCTTTGGTGCTCTCTGAGCGTAGTGGTTTTCTTGCAGACATTTCACTGCCAAACTAGGTAACATCATCAGTGCTGAAGGGAGTGGAGGAGGAGGAGGAGGAGGGATGCTGCAACGGTCGTAAGTGTGAACTAAACGAAATGGTTGTATCTTGTAAGCCAAGCACTTACCTGTAGCCCCTATAAACGGGCTCGAAATCCCAGGACGCTCCCCTCCCTCCCCCTCCCCCAATCCATGGGCCTGTTACTCCTTCCTCAGCCACCAGGGGGCCCGATTCCAAAACCACCAGAGGCAGCGCCACCCCCACCTTTAATCCGGTTCTGGCGGGGGGGGGGAATCCCGTTCTCCGAAACCCCGCCTTTCCCTCCCCCTCTCCTCCCCCCCACCGCCCGCCAGCCGCACGTCATTTGCAGCATCGCGCGATCCCTCCCCCTTCCCCTCCCCCCGGAAAGAACCGGACGGCCTGGCATCCGTTGGCGAGGATCTACACCGGGTCCTCCTCTCGCCTTCCTCACCCCCCCCCACCCCCCCAACATACACACGCACAGCCCTTCCAGGATCTGGGGAAGGGAAAAGAGCAGATTCCCACGCGTTCCTCTCCCGCCCCCCCCCACGCGTGGCAGATCTCGCCTCCGGACGGCCCCGGGGAAGGGCTGCGAAAGGGGCGAGAATGGCAGGAAGGGGAATGCGTGCATGAGTCGATCAATGAATGAATCAGTAAATAAATCGAAGTAAAGAAATGAATAAAGAAGTAAGCAAGCCAGTATAAATAAACAAGTAAATAAGTATAAATAAGTAAATAAGTATACAAGTAAATAAATACGTATACACAAGTAAATAAATAAATATAAATCAATAAGTAAATAAGTATAAATAAATAGGGAAATAAGAATAAACAAACAAGTATAAATAAATAAATATAAATAAATAAGTATATATAAGCAAATAAATAAATAATAAATAAATCAATATAAATTCAGGGAAATAGGAATAACTAACTAATTAATTAATTAATGTTGGGAAGGGTTTCCCCCCCCCCCCCCCCCCCCAAAGTTGGCAGCTCACAGCTTCCACGTCGCAACAACCCTCGACTTGCAAACGTGCTGGGCGGTTGAACTGAACCCAGCGCACCCACCCACCCACGCAAACCCAACCACACACGCACGGAGGCACCCTCCTCCCGCCCCTTATCTCCGAAGGACGCGACCGTCCAGTCCCGGGACTTGTAACCCCGCCCGGGAGGAAGCCGGCTCGACCCTCGGCAGGTGAAGCTCGCCTGCACCTCCCCAGGTGGAGCAGCCGGAGCCCACCTACCTAACACCCCCACTACACACACACACACACACCTCCACCTCCACCTCCACTCCCCGGACTGCTTGCAAGCTGCTTCGTGCCCCGTTTTGTTGCCAGTGTCCCGGGAAGGAGGCGGGTAGGTGTGTGGGCGAGGGTGGGGGGTGGGGGGGCAGGCATCGTTAAACGGGGACAAAAGTCCACGGCAGGCTCCTAGGACGGCGGAAGAGCCTGGCCGCCACCGCCTCTGCCCTACCTGGAGTTGGCGAGGCGCCCGGGCACACCTGGCAGCCTTGAGCCACGCACTCCGGGCGCCCGGGCTGGGGCTTCCCTCGGCTCTGGAAGCCGCCGGGAAAGGGCCGAGGCAGGCGGCCAGGAGGAGGAGGAGGAAGAGGAGGAGGGGTTGGAGGCGGAACTCCCCCGGGGAAGGGAGGCCGGTAAGAGCCACTCCGTGAAAGTCCCTCTCTATTCAGCTGAGCCATCGGGGAAGTCCCAGCTTCCTTCCTCCACCTCCCAAGCTGGGCGAAGCCGGTGTCACCGCCGCAGCCGCCCGGGGATCGGCTCGTGTGGGCGACCCAGGGAGACCCCAGCTCGGCCCACCGACCCTCCTACCGGGGAAGGTGGAGGGGGGGGGTGCAAACTTCTGCACACAGCCCGTCGTCGTCCCCCGCTATCGCCCGCCTTTCCCACCTCCCTCCCTCCTTCCCTCCAGCCCGAGAAAGCAAGCGAAAGGATGACTTGGCAAAGGCAGAGGCGAGACGGTCGGGAGGCGTTGGACGGGTGACTCCCTTCGCAGGAATCCGGGCGAGGGATCCAACGAGGTGGAGGGGGGCAAGCTTGGAAGAAGCGTTCGAGCCCTCCCCACCCCCCCGCTTCCCCATCTGCAAACCCGGGATCCACCGGAGAAGAGGCTCCCCCGGGGGAAAGGCGCACGGCGCACCGCTAACTCTCGCTGGGAAAGGGGGCTCGGGGGTGGCCGCATGGCTTTTTGGAGGCGGGGAGGCCCCTAGGGAATCAGGAGACAACACCCCCCCCAACTATCCCACCCCACCGAATGGGGTCGTAGTTGGACACCGAGCCCGCGATGCTCGGAGAAGGAGGACGCCGCTGCGCCCTCCTCCTCCTCCTCCTCCTCCTTCTTCCCATCAGCTGAAAACCGTGCACGGGGTTGCTTGGCAGAGTATATTTTTTTTTGGAGGGGGGGGAAGGAGTAAAGGAGAATTTGTCCTTGCAAAGATGGGGGGTTGAGGCGTCTGCTCCCCCACCCCACCTCCCTAAATCCCCCCCACCCCACCCCACCCGCCTCCAGGAGGAGGAACCTCTCTTGAAAGAAAAAGGAAAAGCTGAAGAAGGAACCTGGGACAGGTAAAACGGCAGCTCCCCTCTTTGAACCCGGACACCCAAGGAAGATGGCCGGGGAGTTTCCTGTGGACCTGCGTACCTGGCGAAAAGAGGGGGGCCAAGACAAGCCACCCCCCGCGCACGGAGACCCTCCTCCCGCCCCCTCGGCGGGCCACCAGGAGCCCCGCTGGGTAGCTACGACCGCGGGAGGAACCCCGGTGCCCCGGGAACCCGTAGCCAGGGAAGCTCCGGTGGGTCAGCCTGGACCCCGGCCCGGGACTCAAGACGCCGCTGCGACCCCCAAAGAGGGGCTGCCCGAGGAAAAGAAGCCCGAGATGTATTTACCTCTGAGGAAACGCCGTTACGCCGTGGAGGGAGCGAACGGGGACGCGCCGGGACCTCTGGCGGGCAAGGTGCCCAAGGCGGAGAGTGAACTGGAAGGGAATGGATCCCAGTCGCCCCACTGCAACGGCTACCACCTCCCTTGTTATGTCTCCATGCCCTACCCCCGGGTCTCGGTGTCCTATTATCCAGGTAAGGGCTCAGCACCTCTTTGAAATGAAAACCTTCCTTCCTTCCTTCCTTCCTTCCTTCCTTCCTTCCTTCCTTCCCTGGTCCCTCTAATTTTTAGGCGTCCCTGCCAGTTTCCTTCTTCTGCGTCCCCCCCCCCCCCCCAGCATCTCACCCCCCCCCCCCCCAATGATTTAGGGCAGCTTCCCTTTCTTCTGGTTCCACACGTCCAATCTATGTATGTTATTTCAGGCAACCTGTGGTAGCCTCCCTGCTGCTCCAGCAGACTCGGGGGTGGCTTAGAATAAATGCTACGGAAACGAAAACAATGCAAGATAGAGAGAGAGAGACGTCGACAGGGAAGGAGACTATATGAAGACTATATGAAGAACCATTAAGAGAGAGGAAGAGAACCCTCCCCCCCACCCACCCCGACCCCCGACCTAGGTTTTTCTGAGCTCTTTCTTACCTAACCTGGGGTGTGAGGAAGGTTAAGTAAATAAATGAGTGGGGGAGAGATTTGCTTTAATTGTAGCCCCCTTTCCCCCAATCTCTCCTTGTGAAGTAGGCTGGAAGGAGGAGGGGGCAGAGGGAGGGAGAAAGGGGGAGACACAGAGGGAAAGGGAGGGAGGGGGAGAGAGAGGGAGGGGGAGGGAGGGAGAGAGAGACAGAAAGGAGGGAGAGAGAGGGAGGGAAAAAGAGGGAGAGAGAAAGTGGGAGAGAGGAGAGAGGGTGGGAGACAGAGAGAGGAAGAGGAGGGAGAGAGAAACGGGAGAGAGAGTTGGGGTAGAGGGAGACAGACATTGCCCTGTAAAAATGTTTTTTTTTTTAAATTAAAAAAGTGAGAGGTTGCTATCGACCAGCCAGCAGTTCAGGTGTCTTCGTGAGCCCACAGCACTTCCTCAGGCTGCCCTGGGGGTGGGATGGGGTGGGGGGGGGGGGGGGCGGGGGGTCCCTGTGGGGTGGATATTAGGATCGGTGGGGGGGGGGGGGAACCATAAGCAAGACCTTCCCCAGATGAAATAACATCAAGAAAAGCATCTGAGGTGGCCCCCCCATTGCGACAGCTCAATCTCTCCTCACAGTCCTCGCTGAGCGACCGCAGTCGAGAGCGGCAGCTCTGTGGCCGGGGGCCAAGGTCGTAAAAGTGAAATGTCCCATTGGCCACGTCCCTTTTATGACCTCAGTTCTGCTGGGGTGATTCAGCGAATCACCTGCCGTTCTTTTAAGCATGATGTGAGCAGAAACTTGCAACTTCCTGCTGTCTTTCCCATCACTGAGAGACACCCATTAGTTCAAGGACTGGTCATAAAACTACCTTTCCAGCATCAAAAGAAAGGACTATTTGTAGCTCAGGGTGGAACTGTGGAGCCACCGATGCTCTCTGAGCATGGTCGTTTTCTTACAGACATCTCATTACCCTACTAGCTAACATCATCAGTCCCAGAAGGGAGTGGGGTTTGCTCTCTGTTTATAATGTATATAAACGGCTGGCTTTGTCAGTGTTGGGGGCAGGGGAGTTTCTTGGTGATTTCTTAATTAGGCTGTTTTCACACCAGTTCGAACAGTCGCTAAACAGGGCAGTTGTTAATTCTCCATATTTTATCCAGGTGCATAAACAGGTAGATAGTAATGAGGTTTTCTTCCATTCTGCGTTACATTGAATATCCCCAACATAGACAGCAAGTGAGATGCTGGCGCTCTCTCTGGGATGAAGGGAATCAAAGATCACCTTAGAAACCTGGCCAGAAACCAGGAGGCTGTGAGTTCTAGCCCAGCCTTAGGTATGAAATCCTGACTGGGTGACTTTGGGCCAATCACCAGGAGATGGTGAGTTCTAGATTCACCTAGTAGAGTAAATCACCAGGAGACGGTGAGTTCTAGTCCCACCTTAGGCATGGAAGCCAGCTAGGTGTCTTTGGGCCAATTACCAGGAGACGGTGAGTTCTAGTCCCACCTTAGGCATGAAAGCGGGTTGGGTAGCTTTGGGCCAATTATCAGGAGATGATGAGTTCTAGTCCCACCTTAGGCATGGAAGCCAAGTAGGTGACTTTGGATAAATCACCAGGAGATGGTGAGTTCTAGTCCCACCTTAGGCATGGAAGCCAGCTAGGTGTCTTTGGGCCAATTACCAGGAGACAGTGAGTTCTAGTCCCACCTTAGGCATGGAAGCCAGCTAGGTGTCTTTGGGCCAATTACCAGGAGACAGTGAGTTCTAGTCCCTCCTTAGGCATGGAAGCTAGCTAGGTGACTGGGTAAATCACCAGGAGATTGTGAGTTCTAGTCCCACCTTAGACATGAAATCTGATTGAATAACTTTGGGCCAATCACCAAGAGACTGTGAGTTCTAATCCCGCCTTAGGCATGAAACCTGGCTGGGTGACTTTGGGCCAATCACCAGGAGATGGTGAGTTCTAGTCCCGCCTTAGGCATGAAAGCCAACTGGGTGACTTTAACCCAGTCCTTCTCTCTCTCAGCCCAGCCCACCCCACAGGGTGGTTGTTGAGGACAAAATAGGAGAAGGGAGATATGTTGGATATGTGCAACCACCTTGAGCGATTTATAAAAAATAATAAAGGCAGGAACAGAAGTAAATAAACGAGCAAACCACCTTCGCTTCTCTCATCGCCATCTCCTCTCCTCTCCTCCTTTGGAATCCTCAGGTCTGGCCAGCCCATTTTTGAATCCAGAACTCCCTCCCCTTTTGCAACCTTTGACCAGACCATCCCTGCTGGGAATCCTGCCTTCTTACTCAGAATTCATTCATTCATTGATGCCCTCTGCAGAAACCCAGCTGGCTTTGGACATTGCCACGGCAACGCAGCAAGATGAAGATGGAGACACGTAAGTGGAGAAATTTCTTTTGCATGCGGAAATCCAGAAGGAACCGGGCAGCGAAGGGAACAGCCGGCGGGGTTTAGGCCCCGGACAACCAAGTTTGGTCAAGGAAGAGAGGCAATTTGCAGAGGAGCATGTGACCTCTCTGATTAGGGTTATGATGCCCAGAATTCATTCATTCATTCATTCATTCATTCATTCATTCTTCCTTCATTCCTTCCTCTATCTTATATTCTTTCTATCTATCTATTTTCTTTCTATCTCTATATTCTTTCTATCTATCTATCTTCTTTCTTTTTCTTTCTTTCCATCTATATTCTTTCTTTTTCTATTTTCTATCTATATTCTTTCTTTCTATCTATATTGTTCCTATCTATCTATCTATCTATCTATCTATCTATCTATCTATCCTTCCTTCCTTTCCTTTCCTTTCTTTTCTTTTTTCTTTCTTTCTTTCTTTCATTCATTCATTCTTCCTTCATTCCTTCCTCTATCTCATATTCTTTCTTTCTATCTATTTTCTATCTGTCTAGCTCTATTCTTTCTTTCTATTTCTTTTCTATCTCTATATTCTTTCTTTCTATCTTCTTTTTTTTTCTTTCTTTCCATCTATATTTTTTCTTTTTCTTTCTATTTTCTATCTATATTCTTTCTTTTTCTTTCTATTTTCTATATTCTTTCTTTTATTTATGTTCTTTCTTTCTATCTATATTCTTCCTTTCTAACTATCTATATCTATATATATTCTTCTTTCTTTCTTTCTTTCTTTCTTTCTTTCTTTCTTTCTTTCTTTCCCTCTTTCTTTCTTTCTGAAAAGATTCAGCGTCCAAGGCCTCATAGGCAAAATTCTGCAGAGAAATTGAATTGTAATTGTGCTTTTAGCTTGATACAGTAGCTGTATGGTTAGTCCTTGACTTACAACCATTCGTTTAGTGACCATACCAAGTTTTAATGGCACTGAAAAAGCAACTTATGATAGGTCCTCATACCTATGACCGTCCCAGTTGTAGTCGTAAGCCAAGGACTACCTGTAATTGGGCTGTGGGGTAAGGGTCATATGCACCCCATTTTTCTGACTATTGTATACTTTCAATATCTTCAATACAGGTAGTTCTCAACTTAGGACCCCAACTGAGCCCAACATTTCGGTTGTTAAGTGGGTTTTGTCCCATTTTATAGCCATTCTTGTCACAGTTATTAAGCAAATCACTGCAATTAAGTTAGTAACACCATCGTTAAGTGAATCTGGCTTCCCCATTGGCTTTGCTGGTCAGAAGGTCACCCAAGGGGATCACCCCCATCACAAATACAAGCCAGTTGCCAAGTGGCCAAATGTTGGTCACGTGACCTGGAGATGTTGCAAATGGTCATAAAGTGTGAAAAATGGTCACAAGTCCCTTTTTTCAATGGTGTTGTAACTTTAATGGTCAATCAATGAATAGTTGTAATTCAAGGTCTTCCTGCACAAGTAATCCTCGACTTACGACTGATCACTGTATCTGTTTGAAGTTACGATGAATGCCCTAAAGCAGGACTCTCCAACCTTGGCAGCTTTAAGCCTGGCGGACTTCAACTACCAGAATTCTATATTCTTTCTTTCTATCTATTTTCTTTCTTTCTATCCATCTGTATTCTTTCTTTCTTTCTATATAACTATCTACTATTTTTCTTTCTTTCTTTCTCTTTCTTTCTATTTTCTTTCTATCTATATTCTTTCTATCTATATTCTTTTTATCTATCTATATTCTTTTTTCTATCTATATTCTTTCTATTTTTTTCTGTATTCTTTCTATCTATATTCTTTCTATCTATATTCTTTCTTTTTTTCTTTCTTTCTTCCTTTCTTCCTTCCTTCCTTCCTTCCTTCCTTCCTTCCTTCCTTCCTTCCTTCCTTCCTTCCTTCCTTCCTTCCTTCTTCTTTCCTTCCTTCCTTTCTTTCGTTGCCAAAGTTGGAAACCCCTGCCCTAAAGCTTCTTACAAATAGTTCCAACATCTGAGAGAAACACACAACCACAGTCGTACAACTGCATTTTGGTCACTCGGCAACCCGCTCGCATTTTGTAGTTGTTTCCAGCCCCACCCCAATGATTGTACAATCATGATTTCTGCTGGAAGCTGGCAAACACTTTGGATTTCTGGCCAAAGTCACCCCCGAGTAAACAGCGGGCTTCCTTAACAGCCGTTGCATTCAACTTTACACGCTCTTCAAAAAGGATTTGTAAAATCAGTTGCGGTCAGTCTGTATGACTGTCAGAACTTGCAATTGTAATGACACGGCTCAATTACAGTCGTAACTCAAGAACTACAGGTTGCCCTCAACTTACAACTGTTTGAAATTCCAATGGCACTGGAAAAAAAAAAGGTGACTTAGGACCGTTTTTCACACTTATAAACACAGGAACACCCCCGCTCCCCATAGTCACGAGATCAAAATTCAGACCTTTGACAACTGACTCATTCTTATCACGGTTGCACTGATCTCCTTTTACGGCCTTCTGACCGGTTGACTCGATGGGGAAGCCAGTTTCCCTTAACAACAGAGTTACTCATCCAACGGCGGCAGGAAACGTCGTAAAACGAGGCCCAGCTCACCGATCCAATGTTTCATTTAGCACCTAAGACATGTAAGGCTCTGTGGCAGTCGTACAGGGCTCAGTTACGGTCGTAACTCAAGGACGACCTGACCCTTCCCATTGAGCGGGGCTGTTGTTGGAAACCACGTTTTCAGTCAGTTTCAAGCTCTGCCTGACAAGCCAGCTTTGATCTATTTACAAATAAATAACCTGCAAAGTTATATATCCCCTCTTCTCTTCCTGTTCTGGGCCAAAAGCCGCATTCAAGGGTTCATTTTTTTTTCCTTTTAATGCTTCTGCTATTGTTGCCTCAAGAACAGTTCCTGCTGCTTTTGAATCAAAGCGAGCTTAAGCTGGAAGGGGATTCCCCCATTTCTGCTGCAGCTAAATATCTCTCCTACACACACACACACACACCCGCTCCTCCCTAGCCGGCTGGCGTTTTATTTGGTTTTTTTTTTTCTTCCTTTCCTGCTACGTAATAGTTGGCAACTTCGCTCCTTTTACAGGAATGGGGCAAAAGGGTGTTGGCTGGCCCCGAAGGCAGGGTGGGGGAAGAATTTCTCTTACCAACACACAATCTCACACAATCTCTCTCTCTCTCACACACACACAAAACACAGAGAGACACCCTTTTATCTTCTCCTGCTGCCCTGCAGAACGGCAGAGGAAAAAAACAAAAAATC